TACTGCTCTAAGCAGTTTGCCGACAGGAACTCACTTCCTCCCCCCGGCATTTCTACGGAGAGAATAACTCGAGACGCCCGTCGTACAGAGAATTTAAGAGACTCGCTCGAGGTCACACAGCTGAGAAATGATGGCGCTGGTTTGGACCCAGGTGGTCTGATGAGAGGGGTCTGGAGTATGCCACTTTGGCATAAGGATTCTTTATTTAAAAATATATTTTATTGATTTTTTACAGAGAGGAAGAGAGAGGGATAGAGTTAGAAACATCGAGGAGAGAGAGTCATCATCTGACAGCTGCCTCTTGCACACCCCTTACTGGGGATGTGCCCGCAACCAAGGTCCATGCCTCTGACCGGAATCAAACCCGAGACCTTTCAGTCCGCAGGCCGACGGTCTATCCACTAAGCCAAACCAGTTTCAGCAAGGATTCTTCTGTGCTGAAGGCATTTGAGAATCCACAGGTGTAGGAAAGGCTATTTGCTCCCCTCTTGTCTGCCTAAAAGCAGGGCATGCATCCCCCTTTGTGAAGGTGGTATAGGTCCCCACCTCCCTCTCCTCGACCAGAATGAGGAGAGTAACTCCGATCAACAGGACAGAGAGCCAGTACCAAGATGAGTTTGCATCCACAGGCCTTATTAGAATCACCCTTATCTCCCCTCAGAATCCCAAATACGTTTCCTAGTTACTTTCCCCCCGTTTGTTGGCCCTAGACTCCCAGAACCCCTTTCCTTTTTCTCTTCACTTCTCAGTCTGTCACCCATGGCTGAGGTGGCACACAAGTTCCCACGTCTAACCACGTCTTTGGGTTTTTATGACCTTTCTGCAAGGCCCTCAGGCACATAAAAGCTGTGACTTCAATGAAACGGTGTACCTCTCCTCCTGTTAATGTCAGTTTAACGAGTCCATAAAACACTCCTGGGCCCTCGGAGCCAACGTGCTTGGGAAATGTCACCTGCAAGGTTTCCCCATTCGAAGATTCTTAGTGCACATCAACAGATTAAAGGCTATTTTCCAGCACATGCCCGGTCCTCCCACACCCCAGGGAGGCTGTGCTGGTCAGGCGACGTGCTTTGGCCAGTAGAACGTGGGTGGACGTTGACAGGGCCCCAGTGTAGAAGGTAAGAGGTATTGTATGTTCCTACCCGTTTCCCGGGCATCATCTGACCTCTTCCTTGAGAAGAATGTGCCTCGGCACCTGCCTAACCTGCTCCGGAGACCAGAGGGGCCAACCCGAACTCAACATCCAGCCTCGGGCAGACCTGCTCCATGGGAGCTGTGAGCTTGCAGGCGAGAAAGAACTGCTCGCTGCTGCTGCCACTGTGCTTCGTGAGGGTGTGAGGCCGCCAAAGCTGGTTACACAAGGTTCCTAGAAGCCCTTCCGTAGACATAATTAGCATCGCTCAACTTTAACCTCCCCAAGTCATTGGACCAGAGGCCCTTATATATTTACTCCCTGGAAAGCACAATGGGAAACAGTAATGCACACAAACTACTTGATAGTGATTATATGCTACACGTATTAGTATTTTTTTAAGATTTTAAATTAATTTTTTAAAAAAATATATTTTATTGAATTTTTACAGAGAGGAAGAGAGAGGGGTAGAGAGCTAGAAACATCGATGAGAGAGAAATATCGATCAGCTGCCTCCTGCACACCCCCCACCGGGGATGTGCCCGCAACCAAGGTACATGCCCTTGACCAGAATCGAACCTGGAACCTTTCAGTCCGCAGATGGATGCTCTATCCACCGAGCCAAACCAGTTTTGGCTTAAATTAATTTTTACAGAGAGAGGAACAGAGAGAGGGAGAGAGATACATCGATGTGAGAGAAAAGCATCAATCGACTGCCTCCTGCACAACCCCCACCAGGGACCGAGTGGCAACCCAGGCACATTGGGAATCAAACTGGCAACCTTTCGATACGTGGGACGGTGCCCAACCAACTGAGCCACACCGGCCAGGGCTAACGTATTCGTACTTAATTTTTAAAAGAGGCATTTTTAAAAAATATATATTTTATTGATTTTTAACAGAGAGGAAGGGAGAGAGATAGAGAGCTAGAAACATCAATGAGAGAGAAACATCAGCCAGCTGCCTCTTGCACACCCCCTACCGGGGATGTGCCCGCAACCAATGTACATGCCCTTGACCGGAATCGAACCTGGGACCCTTCAGTCCACAGACCGACACTCTACCACTGAGCCAAACCGGCTTCTGCAAGAGGCATTTCTTGCCATAGATTCATTACTTAATCCACAGAATTATTGGCTTTTAAAATTTCTAGGAAGTATACCAAAAAACCTTCCTAAGATTTATTATGTTATTATGAACTAGAGGCCTGACACAAAATTCGTGCAAGGGCCTTGGCTCCCCACCACCGTGGCCTGTCCGGAAGGAAGGACATCCGGAAGGATGCCGTCTAATTAGCATATTACGCTTTCATTATTAGAGCTCACTGGAGGCCCAGTGCACTGGGAGGGTCCCTGGTAGCTGCCGGCCTGCGGGGCCTCCCTCCCTTCAACCGGCCAGCCCCGCCCCCTGTTCAGACTCCCAGAGAACTCCAGGTTGAAGGGACAATTTGCATGCTACGCTTTTATTATAGAGGCTACCTACTACTTCTTCTCTGGAGGTCATCAGCTTAATCTGATATACTTAGAAAGGCATTTTTTAAGGGAACATTGGAACATTATTAGTTACAACACACTTTCGCCTCTCTCTACACTAGGGGTGTCGAACTCAATCAGAGAAGGGGCCAAAATCTAAAATCCAGCCTAAATCGCAGGCCGAATGGTTTACTGAACAGTCATAAACTGTCACTGTGATGGAAACGCAGCGGAATGCAGTGATGACAGCGCGGTGCGGGCCACATTGCAAGGCCTGGCGGGACGGATTTGGCCCGCGGGCCTTGTGTTTGACACATGTGCTCTACACACACCATGCCACACACAATTATAACGTTAACCTTACACACCGTAAATATTTTCCCCCAAAAAAATCTTGGGACTGCTGATTAGCACTTTTGTTTTATGGAAATTTACAGCATATGTATAACCCGATTGGCAATATTAGGTCTCACTGTCATCCTGATCAGCCAAGTTAGACTTAATTTCTGTTAAAGATTGGCTTTTTAAAAAAGTTATAGGATTTATAATATTCATTCCTGAGATATCTTTCTTTCTTTTACATTATTTTCTAAAAAATGTATCTTTGCTGTTGAAAGTATTGCAGATGTCCCTCTCTTTTCCCTATTGACCCCCTCCACCTGGCATTCAACCCCGGGGGACATATTTCTGAGTGTAACTTAAAGACGAACAGATAAGGCACAGAGCCTAGCGATGAAAGTGAAGCTTGAAGGAAATAAGATGCCTTCACTTTCAACATTCCTTACCGATCCTCTTTGCTTGGCCCCAACGGACCTTCCCTCGGGGAGGACATGAGTCTGAGATTGAAGAGATGTGGGTGTTACATGGAAAGTGTTATCACTCAGCTGCCTCCCTTCAGGGGAAACTGGAAGTGAGGGCTTCCCCACACAGGCCAGCCCTGCTCTGCCACCACTCTCCATCCCTGACAAAATCACATGAAGAGCTACCGTGGGGCCCTGGTACCCAGACACCTAGGTTTTTATCTGTTCTTTTGTCTGGTGTTACAGGTTTTACGATACCGGAGGATCACCCTCAACAAAACTAAAGATGGTCAGCCTTGCTGGAGCGGCTCAGAGGCTAAGCGTGGACCTATGCACCAGGAGGTCACGGTTGGATTCCTGGTTCGGGCACATGCTTGGGTTGTGGGCTTGATCTCCAGTGGGGGATGTGAAGGGGGGAGCCAATCAATGATTCTCTTTCCTCATTGATTTTTAAAAAATTTCTTTATCCCTCTCCCTTCTTCTCTGAAATCAGCTTTAAAAAGTTATTTTTTTTAAAAAGATGGTTATCCACCACCCAGAACTGAAGTATCATTGCTCACATGTACACATAAGGAACTGTTTGACATTGAAATTGGGACTCAAAAGAACTGTTGGCCCAGAAAGAAACTCACTACAGACTGATTCATTTGCCTCTCAGCATAACCATTATTGCTCGTCTCATTTTCGGTTCTTAGAAGTGTATTTCCAGTATCGCGTGAGCTCACTCAGCTCGGGGAAACGGTGAACAAGAACAGACCCAGAGACAAGGAGGCATGGATCAGACTGTCGGACCTCAGAGGGAGCGTAGGGGAGGGTGGGGATAAAAGGGAGAGATCAACCAAAGGACTTGTGTGCATCCATATGAGCCTAACCAGTGGTCAAGGAAAATAGGGGGTGGGAGCATGCGTGGGGAGGGGTGTGGGATGGGAATGGGAAGATGAGGACAAATTTGTAATACCTTAATAAATGAAGAAATTTAAACAAAACAAAACAAAACAAAAAGATGGTCAGACTAAGACATGTGTTTCTTCTGCAAAGTGGGGAGAAGGGCCATTTGAAAGAGGAGGGGAGACCAAAACTGGTTTGGCTCAGTGGATAGAGCATTGGCCTGCAGACTGAAGGGTCCCAGGTTCGATTCCAGTCCAAGGCATGTACCTTGGTTGCGGGCACATCCCCAGTAGGGGGTGTGCAAGAGGCAGCTGATGGATGATTCTCTCTTCAATGTTTCTAACTATCCATCTCTCTCTCTTCCTCTCTGTAAAAAATCAATAAAATATATTTTAAGAAAAGAAAAAAGAAAGGGGAAGGGGGAGGACTGGCCTCCCCTCACTCACAGCCACGTTTCCAGGGCACATGGACCTCAGGAAAGAGTATACATCGAACCAGGGAACTAAGTCCTAAAACCATCTGTGCCCAGGGCCCCCGAACATCTTGTAACCCCGAGGAAAGGCACATTCCAGACAGAAACAGCGTTCTATTACATTACAATCACATCTTAAAAACGTCTGCGGCAAAGAGCTGCTGCTTCTCTCATTTTTCTTAACCAAAACATTACAATTTTACTTTCAAAGAGAGAAACCTCTCTAAGGTTTGTTGTTTTTAAAAGATAATTTATTGTTAAATGAAGACGTCACAAAGCAAAATGGAGAGTGGGGGGGGGGGGGGAACAGAGGTCAAAGAGAAATTTTAAAAAATAGTTTTTGCCAAATGCTATCCTGGGTTTCCTAAGGTGAGAAACAGAAGTTTCCGCTGACCAGGTCATCGTTCTTTCTTAAAAGTCCGGCTTTGAAAGTAAAACGTCTTTCTGAGGTCACCCATCACCCTTCTTACACGAAAGCCATCGCTCCAGAGCCTGAGGAGACGTGGATTCGCCAGAAAACGGAGTCTCCCGGGGGTGCTCAGGAGCGTCTGGCCTCAGCGAGAGTCTTAAAAAGCGTTGCTTCCGCCCTGCACACCGACAGGAACCCGCCGTCCGCCGGAGTCCCTCACCCGCCCAGGTGTCCCGCTGTGTCCTCACGAGACTGCTTTTCTGCGGCGTCCAGCCGAGCGGGTTTGAAGGAAAAGGCCTGGGAAGAACTCGCGTTGGTTCCCCGGAGAATAACTTAAACTACAACCTGCCTTTCCATGTGCATTACCCACCCACAGCCGCTCATCCTACTTACTTTCCCGGTCTCATTCAGGTCTCTCCCCGCCCGGTGACCGGCCTGAGCTTACCCCACCCCCCTGCACAGGCCCCGCGCGGCCGGCTGCCCGGCCCGGCCCTCTGGACGGCTGCCCACCCGGCGCTCTGAGCTCCCTCAAGGTGTCTGTCCCCGGGGCCGGAGCAGAGCCTTGGGAATCCTCTCGACATCCTTTAAAAATCACATGTGCCGTGTGTCCTACATGATACAGACCATGGGATTGGAGAGGAAAATCCGTGTTTATCATAAATGCCGTGTGATTTGCTTTTCCAAACACAGGGAGCATTTGTTGCTCGGTGTGACTAAGGAGACGGCAGGGCCCCTCTGATGGGACACCCCCTTCCCCAGCCCCATCCGGCAAACTCAGGAAGTCCAGCGCCCCCTGCAGGCTCCCCAGGGAGGATGCTCGCCTTCAGCCAGGAGCACCGCAGACCGACCACCCAGGGTGACCACCCAGGGTTCCCAGTGAGCAGGACACCAGACCCCCTGGCTCCATCGGCCCCCAATAACTTTCAGTGGGTGCGTTCACCCCACCCCTGCTCACACCGGCTCTTCCCAGGTCAGCCGCCCCTGCTGTGGCTCCAGGCACCCGCACAGCCGTCACTCCGGCTCTCAGGGCCCACGGACAAAGCCGTCCGCAGGAGCCACAGGAACGGCGGAGCCCAGGCTGACAAAACCCCGTCACCCTCAGGCCCTGGACAGTTTGGATGTGTTCAGAGGAAACATCCTCGGTTCCTTCTTTCCCGAATGGGAAGAGAAACAGCAACTGCCACTCTCTTCCCTCAGGAGCCTCGGGGATTGGCAGGAAGAAGTGAGGGTTGGGTGAGGCAGGGCGGGCAGGGGTGAAGGCAGAGGCAGCCTGGCCCCGGCTCCCTCCTGGCCCGGCCACGGCCCCTGCCCCCGAGGCCAGCTCAGCGGGACTCACCGAGCTTCTCTGGCTCACAGGCCGGAGCCTCTTACTCTACAGCGAACGCTACGGGATGGAACCGGCAGGGCAGGGCCCAGCTTTCGGAGGGGGACTCACCTTTTCCTCACAGGAGGCGGGGGTGGGGGGTGGGGGCATTTCCTTGCCTTCGGCCTGGACCTAAGGCCCTGGCAGAACGCCTCTGCCATGCGGACACGGTCGGTCCTAGAGCAGCTGGCCCAGGGCCCATGCTGATGGACCCGGTCACAGACACAGACATCCGCCCCCAGGTGGGGTCAGGCCTGGGGGGAGCCCCCTCGTGGAGCCCCCAAAAGCCCTTTTAAAAAAAGCCGCTTCTCTCTGCCGTGTGTGGCCACGTGAAAACACAGGGAAGCGTTTGGGAGCCCCACACACCCAGGCCTGTGGCGACGCCACCTGGTGCCCGGGTGCGAGGCGCTCTCCAGGGCCCGGGCCCGGAGGGACCGGAGGGACCGGGGCAAGGCTGCGGCCTCCAGCCCCGGCCACCGTCCGCCTGGCCCCGCGGAGGAGGTGAGCACAGGAGAGCCCTCCCTCTCTTTAAAAAAACCTCCTTCTGCCGTCTGGGGCTTTTTGGTGTCGTGAAAAAAACTGCGCGAATTCCAAGCTTTTCGGTTAACAGGAAGTGGGAGCGGGGATGGAAATAGAACACGGAACGGCCCGCGCTGCACAGATTGGGCCCACATGGGCGGCCCGGCTCCGGAGGGGGCGCCGCTGGGCGCAGCGAGGGAGGGCCGGGCTGACAGCTCCACGGCTTCCCCCCTCCCTCCCTCCCCCTCCCCCTCCTCCGACAGACCGTCCACCGGAGAGACCACCCCCCTCCCTGGTTCGAACCCGGCCCTTCTCCCGCTGCTCTCATCAGACCCAGACTCGGGGGGGGGGGGGGGGGGGGGGGGGGAATGTGCAGCAGCCAACTAGAAAGACACCCCTTTTCCCAACGAAGCACCTAAAGAACCAACCCCCTCATCCTTCTACGACGCCGACGCCTCCCTCCCCAGGCCGGGCGCAGAGGGCCTCTCGCGGAGGCCGGGGCCGGGCCGGGCCGGGCGGCGGCTGCAGAGGAGCCGGGAGCCGGGAGCCGGGAGCCGGGCCGGCCCACCCCGCCGGGTCAGCACTCGTCCGAGAGGCAGTCCCCGCCGGCCAGCTCGGCGGCCTCGAGCTCCACGCTGGACAGGAAGCGCCGCAGCGCCTTGCGGCAGTTGTAGTCCAGGGTGGTGGTGTAGACGGCCTTGGGGCTCTTGGGGTAGACGATGGTGGTGCTGAGGAAGCGCGCGGGCCGGGGCCGCGGCTCGAAGCGCAGCTCCGCCTTGTAGCTGCGCCAGGTGCAGTCGGGGATGCAGGTGACCGTCTGGCTGCAGGAGGCCACGGCCAGGCCCAGCGGCAGGCGCACGCCGGCGATGAAGTGCCGCTCCGAGTCGTACTTGACCGAGGACGTGTACCTGGCGGGAGACGGAGGCGGCACGGTGAGCCCTCCCTCGGAGCCGGGGCGCCCAGGCCCCGCCGCCATGACCCCGGACCTCCCGGGGGTGCGGCCTCCCGCGGGGGCGCTCTGGGCGGGACCCCGGACCTCCCGGGGGTGCGGCCTCCCGCGGGGTCCGCTCTGGGCGGGACCCCGGACCTCCCGGGGGTGCGGCCTCCCCAGGGGGCCGCTCTGGGCGGGACCCCGGACCTCCCGGGGGTGCGGCCTCCCCAGGGGGCCGCTCTGGGCGGGACCCCGGACCTCCCGGGGGTGCGGCCTCCCGCGGGGTCCGCTCTGGGCGGGACCCCGGACCTCCCGGGGGTGCGGCCTCCCGCGGGGGCCGCTCTGGGCGGAAGCACGCGGAGCTGGTGTGCGGAGAGTTGGCGTGTGGCGGTAGGGGAAGCCCTTTACGTCCAGGATCTGGTTTCAGTTTCCCAACAACCCTGGGAGAGGAAATGGCCACTCGGAGGCTAAAGTCACAGAGGGAGGGGGTTGTGAGGGCTGGGATTTAAACACAAGATTCCAGCTGAAACCGGTGTGGCACAGTGGACAGAGCGTCGGCCTGCGGACTGAAAGGTCCCGGGTTTGATTCCGGTCAAGGGCATGTACCTTGGTTGTGGGCACATCCCCAGTGGGGGCTGTGCAGGAGGCAGCTGATCGATGATTCTCTCTAACCGATGTTTCTAACTCTCTATCCCTCTCCCTTCCTCTCTGTAAAAAAATCAATCAAAAATATTTAAAATAAAAAGAAATAAAAAGATTCCAGAGTTGGCCTGGCGTTCACCGCTTCTCGCCTGGCAGCGTCCCTTGACTTAAGCCATGAGACCTCCTCGGTCAAGTGCCCGGCCTGAGCTTTTCCAAGCCTCCGTCACCTTTTCCCGTACAGAGCGCCCAGTAAGAACGAGGCAGAATGTTAGTTAACACAGCAAGTGCTGTGGGTGATAATTATTATGTAACAACGGGAGTTCTGCTGCTACACCAGGGTCAACTGTTTCTCTGTCCCCTGAAGCGATCAATTAGCTCTTTAGAGAGAGGACGAAGGCCAAAACCGGTGTGGCTCAGTGGAGCGTCAGCCTGCGGACTGGAAGGTCCCGGGTTTGATTCCCATCAAGGGCATGTACCTTGGTTGCAGGCACATCCCCAGTGGGGGGTGTGCAAGAGGCAGCTGATGGATGATTCTCTCTCATCGATATTTCTAACTCTCTATCCCTCTCTCTTCCTCTCTGTAAAAAATAAATTAAAAAAAAAAATAGCCGAAACCGGTTTAGCTCAATGGTTAGAGCGTCGGCTTGGGGACTGAAGGGACCCGGGTTCGATTCCGGTCAAGGGCATGTACCTTGGTTGTGGGCATATCCCCAGTAGGGGGTGTGCAAGAGGCAGCTGATCGATGACTCTCTCTCATCGATGTTTCTAACTCTCTATCTCTCTCCCTTCCTCTCTGTACAAAATCAATAAAATATATTAAATATATATATATATATATATATATATATATATATATATATATATTTTTTTTTTTTTTTTTTTTAAAGGGAGGATGAAGGAACCTGGAAACCTTAGATGCTGCTTTTGGATGCTCAGTGATACAAGTACTCGTCCATGTTGGCCTTCAAGCTGACCTTATCAATCAAAGCCAATTACAATAGTGGGATTTTTAAAAAAAATGTATGTTTTTATTGATTTTATTTTAGAGAGCGAGGAAGGGAGAAGGAAAGAGAGAGGAACAACCATCAGCTGCCTCCTGCACGTACCCGACCAGGGATGGAACCTCACCCTGAGTATGTGCCCTGCCGGGGCATCGAACCTGCGACCTTTCGCTACCTGGGGTGACGCTCAACCAACGGAGCCCCGGCCAGGGCACCCGCTACGATCCTGACTGCCGTAAAGCAACACCAATATTCCTCAGCAGCTGCTTTATTTTTCCTCAAGTCTTTCTCTGGTAACGCGGGAGTTAATTCTTTTTTAATGTAAGCTAAGCGTGAGTGCGTGTTCCTGTGGAATTATTACAGCTTCGCAAGTACGGAAATGTACATGCCAGCACACACAGACACGTCGGACAGCGCCCCCCGCCCCACGCCCCGTGTCGGGGTCCGCACCAGCATTCTCCCCCGGAGCGGGAGGGGCAGGCCGGCTCCCGCGAGCAGGTGAGAGCTGATGCCGTGAAGTCATGTCCTCATTTTGTTCAAAATACAAGCTCCGCAGGAACAGGGGGCTGGACCGCTCACCTCCCGCGTGGGGAGCCTCCTTTGTTCCCGTCAAAGGGCCCTTTGTGCGGAGGCCATGAGACGCCGGCTGTAAAACCACCGGCTCCCAAAGCAAAACCCCTCCCTCCCTCCCTCCCTCCCTCCGAAAAGGCAGGTCCCAAACAGAGCCTCTCAGTGCGTCTGCCCCGGACAGCCCTGGGGAGACGGAGGCCCCAGGGAGGCGGCGCCTTCCCGGGACATTTCAGCCTGAGCCGGGCACAGCACCTGGGGCAGGGCTGGGGGGAAGGGGCAGGCGGGGACCAGCTCTTGGAAAGAGGAACCCGTTTATTAGAGAATTGCAAACCTCTGATGGCCGTGACATATGAGGTACAAAAAGCAAGTTGCAGGACTTTATGTGTAACATGATCGTGTTTTTACTTTCAGAAGTGTGTCTATATATTTAACTGGTTAGAAGGCAGGAAAAAATCTGAAAGCGTGCCCACCAAACTATGACTAGTCTTTGTTTTTTATAGGAAGAGGGAGAGGGGGAGAGGGGGAGGGTGAGAAAGAGGGAGAGGGGGAGAGAGGGGGAGGGGGAGAGAGGGAGAGAGGAGAGGGGGGAGGGGGAGAGAGGGAGAGGGGAGAGGGGGAGGGGGAGAGAGGGGGAGGGGGAGAGAGAGGGAGGGGGAGAGAGGGGGAGGGGGGAGAAAGAGGGGGGAGAGGGGGGAGAGGGAGAGGAGGATGGGGGAGGGGGAGAGGGAGAGGGAGACGGAGAGGGAGAGGGAGGGGGGGGGAGAGAGAGAGAGAGGAACATCGATATGAGAGGGGCACACAGATCGGCTGCCCCCGCACATGCCCTGACCGGACTTTGAGCCTGGCAGCCTGGGCATGTGCCCTGACCAGGAATGGAACCCACCACCTCGTGGTGAACAGGATGATGCTCCAACCCACTGAGCCACATGGGCCAGGACTGATGCACTAATATATATTTTTAAAAAATAATCATTAATTTCTGGAATAAAAGAATGAAAAATCTAGCCATGACATGCACTCAGCGCCTGCTGTGCTTACCTCACTTCCGTCGGCGGCAAAGGGTCAAACTCCACGCCTTCGCCGAAGGACAGGGGACAGAGCCTCGGGGCGCAGGCGGAGGCCGGCGGGGTGGGGAGCGAGGCTGGACTCTGGGAGGACGGAGAGCACAGTCAGACCATGGGCCGGCTGAGACACCCCCGAGGCCCTGGCTCGGGGCGTGCGGCCGAGGGCCCCACCGAGCCTGTGGCCCCCGCCCGGGAAGGATGCCAGAGAAGGGCTGCCTCAGCACGGACAGAGCAGTGGACGGTTCAGATGTTACCCAGCCAAGGGAGCCCAGAGGCCTGGGTTCGAATCCCAGGTCTGCCAGGAAGGGCTGTGCGCCCCAGGAGGCACATCACACGGCCTCTGAGACCTAATCTGCACCCCCGGCTCCCCTTCCCACGGGAGAGGCTGGAAAGAGTGGCCGGACCCACAAGGCGGCCAGGAAGCCTGCCTCTGCCGGAACCCCAGTGACGCGCCCGACCCTGTCATTGTCTCGGCCTCAGGAAAGGCCAAAACGGCATCCTTCCACCAGCGTCCTTCCACTGCAGACTCAGCACCATGTCCCCCACCGCCCCCGCCCAGAGGGAGGACTGCACCCCACGGGGCCAGGAGCGCCCCAAAGTTCCCTGTCACTCTCCACTGTCCAGGCCTCAGAGGGGAGCAGGCGCGCCCGGAGGGTCGCTGGCCTCCAGTCTGGTCAGAGCTCTGGGCTTCCTCACTCACCCGCAGCCCAGGAGGGGCAGTTCCATCGGACACAGGTGCCCGTGGCCACCGGCCTTGACGGGGGTCCCCCCCATGTTCACGAGGCAGCAGGGAGCAGCCCTTTGGGGTCCCGGGTTTATGGGGCGCCTGTCATTTTCTTTGCCTCCTTTGAGGGAAGGATCCACACCGGCCGGGGTGTGGAGGTGGTAGTCCCACCCCCACCCCTTCCAGGACGGGGAAGGAAGCAGACCCCTCTCGAAGGCTGGCTCTCAGACACTGATCGCACTGCCGCCGGGACAAGGTGTCCTTGGGCGTGTAGGTTGAAATACAAAAGCCAAAGGGGTCAGGATGGGTCAGGGGGAGGGGCAGGCCCTGAGGGTCCTGCACCTGAACGGGGTGGGCAGTTCAATGACCCCACTGGGGAGGGAGCCGAGGTCAGAGGGTGGGGAGGAGGGGCATTGGCTGGTACAGGGCTTCGGATCCAGCCCCCCAGTCCGGACAGCGGGCCTGCTGGCCCCCAGCTCTCTGGCCCCCTGACAGTCCCCAGCCTCCAGGGCTCCTTCAAGACAGTCTGGGCTGCAGGATGACGGCCACCGGAGCAGGCAGGTGGCTCTCCAGCTCACACACAGCCTTCCCTCAGGCACCCACACACGCACACAGCTCTCCTCCTCTGCCTTCTCTGCTCACGGAGCACACCCCCAGCTCCAGTGGCGGCCGGCTGGGCCAGGGCCGGAGTGATAACCAGCACACGGACACGGTGCCACAGGGGCCGGGACGAGCCACACGCCGGCACAAATCCGGGAGGCATCAGGGAAGACTTCCCGGAGGAGGTGCCAGTCGGGCGCCGAAGGGGCCAGCGGGCTGTGGTGGGCGGAAAAGCTGACTGGGGCGGAGAGCAGAAGCAGACGGGCTTGCAGGGGAAGGCCAGCCCCGCGGAGGGAGCAGCGGAGGCGCCAGGTCGGCCAGGGGACGGGGACCACGAGGCTAGGAAGGGCCAGATCTCCCGTCCGAAGGCCACGCCGAACTGGTGCTGCCTTCCCGCGGGGACAGGGGGATGCACTGCCTCCACGGACAGACAGGGTCAGTGGGTCCCGGATGCTGGTACCATCAACGTGTATGGTCCCCCCTCCCTACCCAGGAGGGGGACGGGGGGAGCCAGCTCTGAGCTCTGCTCGGAGGCAGGATGTGGCCTCCCTGCGCGCCAGGTAAAGGCAGTTACCACCCCCACCTGAGCGACTGCTGGGGCGGGAGAGACTCTGTGTTTTTCTTAAAAAAAACAAAACACAAAAAAACAAAAAAACACTAAGAGAAAAGGACTCACTTTTTGAAGTTCCCTCCCCCCAGAGGCCTCCCACCCATCCTGTGCCAGGCAGACAAGGGGGCCCAGGGAGGCCAGAGGCCCCGGGGTGACCCTTCCCAAAAGGTCCCCCCCGAGGCCAAAGATAGTCCCCAAAGGCTGGCCCCAGGCGCCCTGAAGCGGGGAGCTGGGCGCCCCAGGACCAGTCGGAGGGGGAGACCCTGGAGCCAACGCCTGCAGCGGCCGAGCGGCCCGGCGAGCCTGGGGCTCCCTCCCGGCGCCCCGGGAGCCCCTCCAGCCATTCCCGCCCCCGCCCCCGCCGGGCAGCCGGGCCGCCCCCCGCGGGAGAGGCGGCGGGAGAGGCGGCGGCTCCCCGGGGCCCGCGCTCCGGCGATGACAACTTTCCGGCCGCGGCTCCAGCTGGCCGCGCGCTCCCCGCTCCGGCTCCGGCTCCGCCACGCCGGCCCGACGGGCGGGGGCTGCGCCCCGGGGCGGCCGGGGTCCCGGGCCGGCGGCGGCGGGCGGGAAGGGCCGAAGGCGCACGCACTCACCGGGGCCGCGGGCGCCGCCGCGTCGGGCTCCAGCGCTCCGGGCGCCGGGCCGCGCTCCCCGCCGCCCCCCGCCGCCGCGGGCGCCCAGTGGCCGGGGCTGGGGCTGGGCGGCAGCCCCGAGTCCGGGCTGTCCAGGACGCCGTCGCCCTTCTTCTTCGTGTCCACGAGCTCGGGCACATCCTGCAGGTTCAGCCGGCCCACCATGGCTGCGCGCGGCGCCCCGGACCAGGAGGGGCGCAGACGCGGGCCGGGGCCGCTGCCCGCCCGCCCGCCGCCCGGGTCTGGCCGCCGCCGCCGCCGCCGCGCCCGGCCGCCCCGCCTCCGCCTCCGCCTCCGCCCGCCCCGCCCCGCGCCGTCCGCACCGGCCGCTCCGCCCGCTCCGCCGGCCGCGAACCGGGCGCCAGGGGCCGCTGCGCTCCGCGGAGCCGCCCGCCGCCCCGAGCACCTCCCGGCGCGGGGCCCCGTTCGGCCCCGCCCGCCCCGCAGGTGGGCCAGGCCGCCCGGCCCGCAGGAGCTGCCGCCCGGCCCGGCCCGGAGCCGGCGCGGAGCCGCCCGCAGAGGCCGGGGGCGGCGGCCCCGGGAGCGCACAACTGGAAATTATTAATCGCTAATGCGCTTCGTATGCGTCTCGCCGCCGCCCGGCCGGCCCCGCGGGGCGGGCTCCCGGCCCGCCCGCAGGGAGAGGGGCTGCTCCCTCCATCGGAGGATCCCCGGGGAGACTCCCCTCCCGGCCGGAGGGCTCAGAGGCACAGGCAGCGGCCGCCCCGCTCCGCAGGAGCTGTCGGAGGGCCATGGGCTCCCGAGTGAGGCCCCAGCTTTTCACCCCTAGAAGGCCCCCTCCAAAACCCACACGGGGGAGGGGTGCTCCCTCCTTTGTATATTTGGCAGAAAGACCCTGTCGGGGTGGGAACTCGGTCCAGCAGCTGCCAGCTGTGGACCTGGCTGTTCTCAAACCCACCCCTGTTTCCCACAGAGCCCTCCACGGTTAGCAGTGAGGGTGGGAGTCTACACACACACACACACACACACATACACCCTGCCTGCCCACCCCTCCCCTGGGCTTGATGTGGGCTCAGCTAACAGCCTCGAGCTGGAGCCATGCCCAGACCTGGCCCGCAGGTGCCAACTCTGAAGGGAAGGCGTGCCCGGAGCTGGGGGGCTTCCTGGCTGGATCAGAGGGGGCTCTGTGCGCGCCCCACATTGGCGGCCTTGTGTGCGGCCTGCAGGCACAAAGGGTGCTTGTCCCACTGCAGCCTGCTGAAGCTAGGCTGTGGGCAGGTAGGTGTTGGAGGCCTGTTGGCCAAGTGGGGCCCCGAGACTCTCCACCCGTCATTTTCGGGGAAGAAAACAGAGAAGGGAACTTCCGTGCTTCTCTCCAAACCGCACGGTTGGTACAAGGCAGCTTTCCTCGAGTCATCCTCAGAGATAAAACCTGGTGCGTGCCTGGGGCTGGCAGGCTGGTCATTCATTTTTAAAAATATATATATATTTTATTGATGTTTCACAGAGAGGAAGAGAGTGGGATAGAGAGCTAGAAACATCGATGAGAGAGAAACATCGATCAGCTGCCTCCTGCACACCTCCCACCGGGGATGTGCCCGCAACCAAGGTACATGCCCTTGACTGGAATCGAACCTGGGACCTTCCAGTCCGCAGGCCGACACTCTATCCACTGAGCCAAACCGGTTTCAGCTGGTCATTCATTTAGGGTCCGTGGGGACAGGTTACAGAATCCCAGTCCTGGATGCATGCGTAGTGTAAGGTGACAAGACGTCCCAATTTTGAACAATTTGTCCCGCGTCCCACGGTGTTTTAAAAAATCGGGACTTTTTAAAACGCCGCGGGACATGGGACAAATTGTTAAAAATTGGGACTTTCCCGCCAAAAGCGGGACAGCTGGTCACCTTAGCGTAGTGTGAGAACAGACTCGCAGGGCAAGCGTGGGTCTTAAAGGTTGGGCTAACCACCCAGCTACACCTCCCTCCCCCTGTTGTTCCCACCACCATCTGGAACGTCCCAGGCTGCCCCCAACCTGGGCACCGCAGGAACCGACGTGCTTCTGGGTGATGGACAGAGTGGGAGGCCCTGGGAGGAAGTTGCCCAGCCTCGGACCCTGAGAACTCTCCCTTACGCCTGGCCCGGCTGGGAAAGGAACCCAGGAAGATGGCGACTGCCCCAAGGAGGTGGTGGCCTTCCAGGTCTCCAGCCTGAGAGAGGGGAGGACCAGCCTGAGGGAGGCCACCTACGCGGCCAGTTTCAGCCCTCCGCAGTGTGGATTGCTGAGAGCTAGGGAGGGATCGCCACCTGAATTTGCTAAAACAGCTCCCTGGGGCGAGGGAGCCTGCAGCCTAGCCATTGCCAACTTCTGAGGGGTCGGCAAACTCATCGGTCCTCAGAGCCAGATATCAACGGTACAACGATGGACATTTCTTTTGAGAGCCAATTTTTTAAAAAGTAAACTTCTTCTAACGCCACTTCTTCCAAATAGACTCGCCCAGGCCGTGGTATTTTGTGGAAGAGCCACACTCAAGGGGCCAAAGAGCCGCGTGTGGCTCGCGAGCCGCAGTTCGCCGAGCACGGGCTTAGGTGATCCACATTCTGACACAAAATCCAGAGACGTCACAGTTGCCAAAGTGAACATGGGGTGTGAAGCTGCAAGCTTTGGAGGGTCCAGGCAAATCAAAGAGACATCTTTTTAAAAGTATGTTTTTATTCATTTCAAAGAGGAAGGGAAAGGGAGAGTGCAGTGATGAGAGAATCATTGATCAGCTGCCTCCTGCACGCCCCTCCACTGGGGATTGAGCCTGCAGCCTGGGCATGTGCCCTTTAGCGAATGGAACCCTGGACTCCTCAGGCCACAGGCTGACGCTCTATCCACTGAGCCACACGGGCTGGGGCCAAAGGGACATCTTTGAGACACCCCTTTCTCTTGGACACTGGGGCCATCAAGCAGCATGGGCACCTCGACCCTCCAGCTGGACCGGGGAAGCATCCACACACTGACCTCCAGCTTGAGAAAGTCCTGTCTGATCCCCAAGAGCAGCACCCCCCAACCCCAGAGGGCACCGCGCAATCCCTCTAAAGTAGGGGTGTCGAACTCAATCAGAGAAGGGGCCAAAATCTAAAATCCAGCCTAAATCGCGGGCCGAATGGTTTACTGAACAGTCATAAACTGTCATTGTGATGGAAACGCAGCGGAGTGCAGTGATGACAGCGCGGTGCGGGCCACATTGCAAGGCCTGGCGGGACGGATTTGGCCCGCGGGCCTTGTGCTTGACACATGTGCTCTAAAGGATGCCTTCAGAGGACACCGCCAGGCCTCAGCTCCTGAAGCATAGGAGGCTCACATACTGGGCCTCCTCCTTAGAGAGCCGGCTCTGATGGGAGAAACTGGAGGGCGTGAAGAGGAATCCCCTCAGGACCGGACACGACAGAGGAGCGGAGGGGGGACTGTGGCCCCATACACACTCCCATGAGCCCCCTGGGGTGCCCCTCCCCCAGTAACCTGCACCAAAGTCGGACCCTCTACGGTTCCCAGAATTCTGTAAGCCAATCAAAAGACAACGAGGAGCCGAGACCCGTTTGGCTCAGTGGATAGAGCATTGGCCTGCGGACTGAAGGGTCCTGGGTTTGATTCCGGTCAGGGGCATGTACCTTGGTTGCTGGCACATCCCCAGTGGGGGGTGTGCAGGAGGCAGCTGATCAATGTTTCTCTCTCATCCATGTTTCTCTCTATCCCTCTCACTCTCTGTGAAAATCAATAAAATTAAAAAAAAAAAAGATAATGGCCGAAACCGGTTTGGCTCAGTGGTAGAGCGTCGGTCTGTGGACTGAAATGTCCCAGGTTCGATTCCGGTCAGGGGCATGTACCTTGGTTGCGGGCACATCCCCGGTAGGGAGTGTGCAAGAGGCAAGCTGATCGATTTCTCTCTCATCAATGTTTCTAGCTCTCTATCTCTCTCCCTTCCTCTCTGTAAGAAAATCAATAAAATATATTTTTAAAAATAAATTAAAAAAAAAAAGACAATGAGGAGCCGGCCAGTGTGGCTCATGGTTGGCTGGCACCCATACACCAAGCGGCCCCCAGTTCCATTCTGCTTGGGGCACATGCCCAAGTCTCAGCCCCCAACAGCGGGTGGGGGTGTACAGGAGGCAGTTGATCGATATTGATATTTCTCTCCCTCCCTTCCTCTCTCTCTCAAATCAATAAAAACACACTTTTTAAAAAGACAATAAGGAGAAGCCCCCGGTTTGTTCCTTCGTGTCCAGATGCCATCGAAGAGCTCACAAACAAGCCTGAGCGGGCGGAGGCCACGGTGGAGAGCGCGTTGGCCTGGCCAGGCGCCTGCCTGTGCCGGCACCGCCGCCACCACGCACTCCGGTGGAGGCGAGCAGAGGGCTCTCACACGGGATCCGTCCAGCTCCCACCTGCCCGCGTGTCCTCGGCGGGCTGCGTGGTAACTGCGCGGGAGCCAGGCTGTGTTTCCGGTCCTCGCCCGGCTCACTGCCCCGGCCGGCGGTCCTCCCTCTCATCCAGATGGCTTTCCGACAGCGGCGTCTCTTACAGACTCCGACCCTGCCCGGCGGCTGGCTCTGCGGGTGAGCCTCGGCCCACGAACGGGCGGTCAGGGCGGTTCCCCGTCAGGGCACACGCTGGATTGCAGGCTGGATCCCCTGTGGGGGCGTGCAGGAGGTAGCTGATCAACGATTCTCTCTCTTCATGGATGTTTCTCTCTCTCTCCCTCTCCCTTCCTCTCTGGAATCGATTAGAAGGAAAGAGTGGCCTCTCCTCCAGGCTGTCCGTTCGGGCGGGCCACGGCCCCCCGCCTGGATCAGGCGCCCAGTGTCCTCATAGGACACGGCTTCCCGCTGAGGCCTTTCCCCGGGTCTGAGGAGCACGGATGCCAGTCCGGCTTCCCCTTCTCCGCACCAGGTCACACAGGAGGGAGTCAGACGAGAGCAGGGCGGACCCCACTCGGCTGCTGCTTGTTGTTTCAGACTGTTGTTCTGACTGTTGCCTTCAGTCAACCCAGCCAGCCGGGGGTTGAAACGCTGCCGGCTCCGGTGAGGGTCCGCTGGCCACCGCAGCCTGTGCCTGCCGCAGGGCACCTGCCTCAGGGCCGAACAAGCCCCCTCTCCCTCCCGCGCTCCACGTCGCCCAGAAGGCTCCGAAAAAACCCCTTTCGTCTCCTTAAGCATCTTAAGATTAAGGCTAAAGCTTCCCAAGAACATTGAATCTATCCTATTCGATAACAAAAGGAACTGACTAGAAAAAATGTCCTTGGCCTGGCCAGCATGGCTCAGGGATTGAGCATC